CCCAAATCCCAGAGATGATGCACAGCTGATTTGCTCATTCTAGGAGCTATAAAAAGATGCATATGTGAAAAATGATTTGACTTGAAGAGTCTTTTGAGAGATCAACATCAATGCTGTACCACACATAACTGCATTGAATAGAGACATACCAATGGAAATGTGCAACTTTTCAACTCTCTGTCTTTTCTGTTTGTGCACAAGAAGGCCATGTTCATTCCTCATTCATCAGGACTGGTTTGACCGGCTTGCTGTGACTGATTTTCTTTGCGTTTTTGGTCTTCAGCTGTAAAACAAGAAAATATTTATTGACCCCATGTTTAATTATTATTGTTGTTTAAACATAAATTAAGCAGTTATAATTATATACTTCAAGCTCAAGTTCCCTGGTAACTCTAGCAGACTCCTGAGTTCATCTGTATACATCAGATTCAGAGTCTGAGAAAAGGCCATCATGCAAACTCTCAGTTTCTACCTTACAACAGAGCATAAAAGAATGTGTAAGTGAGTGAGGGAGTAAAGGAATAAGATGAAGAGAAATAGGCAGAATTTTGTGTGTAATTTTAACACAATGAAAGGAACATTTAAGAGTTAACATTTAATGACACAGAGGAACATTATCGTTGGAATCTTTCAGAAATTTTTTTTTTTCAGCTGATGAACAATAAAAACATTGACAGCCAATCAGAATCCACCAGACTTTAAAGAGCTTGAGCATTTAAATGGCAGACAACAACATACTGTAACTGCAGAGTGTATAGCAGTAAACAGAACAGTATCGTCTGTTGGTGTGGATGCTAAAATACTTCTCATTATAGTTATTGCTCTTGGTGTGAACAGCTTTAAGTGATCTGATTTGGCCAAATTAATTGAAGATCTGATTTGTAGCACGTGACAAGTTAAGCTAGCATTTCCAGACTCTTGCTTCTTAGATAAAATCAACATGGAAAGAAAGGCAGACTGTGAGGTGTGGACAGATATCATGTACTGATAGAACGGAAAGAGACGGCGCCAATTTGTAAAGATTAATAAAGAATACAATGGACTTAATATAAACTTTATGATATAAACACTCTGACTACTTACAATGGGCACAATCTGCATGAGTTGAGGCAATGGCCAATGACAGCAGTAGGAGTAAAAGTCGTAGAATTTTTTACGAGTACGCTTGTACAATATCATATGAATTTGCTGACTTGGTAAATTGTATGAATTATTATTACTACTTCGACATGACACTTTTCTGGGGGTTCTTCCTGATGGGGCCGTAGGGTATGTAACCAAAGTTTAAGAAACATCAATTGCTGTGAAAAATGTTTCTGCAGTAAAGTTCAGTCAAAGTGCTCAGACCAACACAGACGTACCATTGGAAGTGTTTGCCTTTGCAGCTTTTGGTCTTCTCCATAAACACACAAGATGGTCAAATTCAAATCCCATGACAGGCCTTCCTTTGGTCTTCCCTTTCAGCTGAAATGGAGAGAAACATATACATGTTGAGACTGTGTGTTAAAAATGAACTGTGACCAAAATATTTGATTAACACATAATATAAGGATGCGTTCATTCAAGCAAATCAGTTATAACTAAATGTCTTCAACATTTAGCTTCTTCAAGATCAGCATTGGGAGCGTCGAGTTGAAGTTCCCTGTTAATTCTAGCAGGGAGAGAGAGACTTTTACAAGAGATGGCTTAAAGAGCTGCTGGATTACAGGCTGTTGTGGACTATGTGACCTGACATAACTGCAAGACAATTGCTTCACAAAAAGGTATTAAAGGCATGGCAAGCATTGTGGTTACTGTGCTTTACAAATAGTATACAGTAAAAACACAGTTACTGTGGTAAAACCATGGTAAGTGTTGTGGTTATTGTGCGTTAGTAACTACAAATACCACAGTAAAACTATGGTTACTGAGGTAAAAACATAGTAAATGTTGTGGTTATTGTGCTTTAGTAACGACAAATACCACAGTAAAACTACGATTACTGAGGTAAGCCCATAGTAAGTGTTGTGGTTATTATGCTTTAGTAACTACAAATACCACAGTAAAACTACGGTTACGGTGGGAGAAGTATGGTAAATATGTTGTAGTTACTGTGCATTGGCTACACATGACATGGTCGAGCAACAGTTAGACTACTATGGTAAAAATATGGTAAATCTGTGGAATTTTTACATGATCACGATCATCAGGCGATACCGGGTTGGTTGATTTGTTGTGCTGTAATCAGCCATGTCTAAAAGCTGAAGACCCATGTCACAACATGATTAAAAACGGTTTGTTTTATTTATTTATTTCAAAACGCAACAGGTGTATACAGTAGAAGTTAGCTTAGGCTAATGTCAACGGTAGGCTAGCAGCTGTGCTAACTGAGCAGCCCAATGTTCCATAATTTGAACGCATATGCTGCTATTTTAACACATGACCCCATGTAACGTGATGCAGAAACACTGAAATAATTAAAATAATACCGTTAACCACATGATCTCATTACAAAAAAAGATCGTTGCCCTTACCTGTTTGAAGGTGTACACGCATCAGGTGAACTGGACGAAC